CCCATGGAGCTGTCAGTGCAGGGGGCTTCTTCCTGCTTTCCCTTTTGCCCCCCTGCATTGTGCCTACATATGCAAATTAACCTCCATCTTTGTTGTCAGTTAACTGCCATCTGACTTGGCAGTTAATTTGCATATCCCCCTGATTAGCCAATGAAAAGGGTAGCGTCGTATGTCAATTACCATTTTTCTCTTTTATTAGTGTAGATATGCATAGTCCATGGACAAATAATAGTGCAGGAAGGCCTGAGACAAAGATGGGAATAGGGGAGGTGGGGGGGTGTGGTGTGTAAGGAAGGGAAAAAGGACAATTGTAATACTTTGAACAATAAAGTTTAAAAAAATAATTTGCATCTTTAAGTTTTCTTAATAAAGACTAATTTTTTTCTGCTAAGAAAAGAAAATCAACCTTGTTTTAGAATCATACCTTTATACTATACTAGAGGCCCAGTGCATGACTGGGGGAGGTCCCCTCAGCCCGGCCTGAGCCCTCTCACAGTCCATGACCCCTTGGGGAATGTCTACCTGTTGGCTTAGGCCCGCTCCCCGCTCCCCTGTGGGAGTCCACTGACCACCAGGAGACAGCTCCTGCAGTGAGCGTCGCCCCCTCGTGGTCAGCAAGCATCATAGCGCCTGGTCATTCTGCTGTCCGGTTGATTTGCATATTAGCCTTTTATTATATAGGATTCCACGTCCTGAAACATTTTCCTACTAAAATAATAGAGTGTTTTTTACTGTCATTTTTTGTAATAGAACTGAACTAATCCTTAACTTTAAAAATACAAAAACAATTTGCAGCTCCAACAAGTTCTCAGGTGATACTGCTGCTGCTGGTTTGGGGACTCTGCTTTGAGAACCACTGGACTCAGTGCAGTGCCTGTGAAAAGTCGCACTAGCTCTTCCACAGAATATCTGGTGCATGTTCCTGGGTCATTAAAATATTTGGCACCTGGTCAATGCTCAATGGATGGCTTTATTTCATTTTATGATTTTACTTTGTTTTTGCCCTGGATTAATTCTATCTGGCTCTTGATTCTCTTGGCTAGCAACTTTGCCCTCATTTCCTGGATCCTTTCGCGCACAGCCCCTCTGATTTAGAATATGCTGTTTTCTTTCCAGCTGTGACCTTGGCTGCTCTCCACAAAGACTGCCTTTCCAGCTTGGCTCTGCTATCTCGATCCAGCCCCCTGAACCCTCCTTGGCAGGCCATAGCCTCACAGGTGGGCCCTGAGTGGGGGTGGTACTATCTGATGCAGTCAGCTAACCCGCCATGGCCTACCTCTAGCATGAAAGACAAGCTGCTCTGATGGCAAATAAGGGCAGCAATGTGCCCCCCCAAAATCATAGCATGCAGACATCACAGATATGGCAAGATGCATAGAAACTCACTCACTGGCTGTCTGAT